TAAACCACCAATGAGTGCTCCCCGAATTCATCGTGTCGACTTGTCATCGCGTGGCTGAGCTGAATTGCTCCCATACTTTCTCGTTTCGATCGTCTTCAAAGGTGCCTAGCTTAAACAACCCCCGAAGGTTCGCTACAACAGACAGAGGTACGGCCTTTACGGCGGACCTAACTCAGGCGATTCTGAGGTACAGCCAGACAAATCACCACCGGACCACCACCTACCATCCACTGACCAATAGCCTCATGGTGCGCCTTGATAAGACCACCGCTGATATGCTGGTTATGTACGTCGACGTCGAGCACAAGACGTGGGATGAAATCCTTCCGTACGTTACCTTCACGTAAAATATGGCCGTCCAAGAAAGGATGCAGATGCCTCCGTACAAGTTTGTCTATAGAAGGAGCCCGGCAACGACGCTGGACGCTACGCTTCCAAACGTTTATTTATTTATTTATTGATACTGTTAGCCAAAGGCCGTTACAGGGTGGGGTAAAGAAATACACTTCACCTGTTGACACAAGCACTACAAAATGAAATCAAGAAAGACAACACAACAGGCAGGTTTTAACAGAGGACCAATCTAACAAAGAAGGCAAATAAGGTTTACACAGTAGTGATCAACGATTGGCATGGTACGTTGCTCACGAAGAGAACTTCGACGTCACTGCCTACCTTCAGTGTGCGCAAGAAGCTTGTCAACTCACCCGCCTGCGCATCACAAATCATCAGGCTACTGACAGCCACCGTTACAATCCCCGATGAAGCTTCCTTCGTGCAGTACCTGCCCAGGGATCGTGTTTGGGTATGGACGCCAATTCGCCGACGTTGGCTCAGTGAAAAACTTTTGCGACGGTACTTCGAACCGTACAGAGTAGTCTGACATCTTGGCTCACTGGACTACGAGATTGTTCCCGACGGCATTACGAACTCTCAACGATGCCGTGCTCGACCTAAAGTCGTCCATGTCGTGCGCCTCAAGCCATTTTATGCGTGAACCTGAAGACTTATTCTTTATTTTCTTTTTACTGTACTTTGGTCTTTTGTTACAGCATCGAGACGTTGCCTGTTTCTGAGGGGGCAATGACGCATTCCTTCTTTCCGGTTGTGTTATCGCCCCGTTACACTAGAATCAGCGCAAACCACATCTACGGTGTTAGAAAAGCATCGAGGCAGTAGTAGATTGCTTTCTTAAGATTACGCACACTTTGTGAACCTTTCAGATTATTCTGAAGCTTACTTTGCCGTCAGCGATAGCCCTAGAATGTTCGATGGCAAGTGTATAAATGCCGTTACGCTTCGCCGCTTGTCAGTTGATCAACAGCCGACGCCCTGCTCGTTGCTATCAGTGCCAACTTCTTGCTGAATTTTGACTTTCTTTTTACGTGGGCACAAGTTCGGCCCTCTTAAATAGTTCATTATTCCACCTGCAGTCTGCATCCTTTATTCATGTCACGACCCCATGACAATGTGCTATGCCAAGAAGTAAGAATGAGTGAACAGTAGAGCCTTCCCATCGGGTAACTTGAATGAACCATTGCTTCTTGCCTACGGTGTGCGCGCAAGGAGCGATGAGCATCGATCCGACGGGCTTTCAGCCAGCGGTGCAGCGCACACGAGCCACAGCTGACAGTTGCCGGGTGCACTTGCCAGCACTTCCCTGAATCATACGTAGAAACACAGACTTGTTGTTCGGTGTGCGTTCATAAAGTAACAAGATGAGACACATTTGTGCACATGCAATTTGGTTTTTAGCTATCGGCTATGCAGCTCCAGCTATCGGTTTACAGCTTAAAATCGGCACACTCTGAAACGGCCGCTGCATTATTGCATATCGTCGCTTGCGCACAAAAATACACCTAATTCAATCAACTACGTGCGTACTTATCCAGCATTACAGTCGATATAATACTTCGGCGCACGTCAACCAGCACAAAAAGTGAGTAACGGCTATTGCACTCGACAATAAATCATCTGCCCCAGGTTCTCGGTAATTTTTGTATGTTTTCCTTTGTATGCAGCGAATTCTGAAAAAAACTTCGCCTCTTGGCACTAGGGGCATGTAATACATGGACGCCAGTAGTTCTCATATTATAAAGACGCAATGTTTAGTTAGAAACGGAAATCACCTGTGTGTTCAAACAACGACCCATGAAGCGGAACAGCAAGCCTACTTTTAACCAGTTTTTTTTTCTTTTACCACACAGTGAGCATGGCACGACATGGCCTAGTGAACGTGGCACAACATAACGCCTTGTCATACGTAGGTGGGGTGTTCGAACTCCGATTTAGAAATTTTTCTTTAAAGTATGCGGTGAGATTTACCTTACTTTGGCAGCAATTAGTTTGTGCGGTAAACTAACTTTTGGCGACGCTTTAGATGTTGCCGCTGTTTCTTGCTTCGAAGGTGTTGTTAGTGATGCTTTGGGAACTAAACGTCCATGATCCCACAAGCATGCCTTAGTTATCACTAAAAGTTATCCTATTACTTGACACATTAAACTTACATCTGAGGCGTCTACCCTCAGAGGCGTATGGCTACGAGACAGTTATATTGCTTTGCGGTGTCGGTAGCAACATGCAAGCGCTAGGTCTATGCACGAGAGTTGCATTGATTGGAAACTCCACTTGAGTAGCAGAGAGTTCGCAGACTCTTTTACTCTGCAATCAACGAAAAAGTATGTTTCATGGCCAACTCTGTGCTCTACTCCCTCGCGGAGAACTCTTGGGAAAGTAACACAGTCCCTTTGCTTTTGCAGTACCCCCTCAAACTCTGTGAGTGTGTAAAGCGGGTGGAGAGAGCACTTACTTCACTCTGTGGCGTGCACAACTCAGCGAGTGAGCGTGCAGTGCGTGCGGCACAGCGCGAGCCACACGCAGCCGCGCCTGCATTCCCGCTTCACCGGAGCGCACACCTGTTTTGCTTGGCGTGCTTGCCCGGTGTGACAAGTCCCATGAAGTAGGGAGGCGATCGCCGGGCTAATTCCAAAGGCTGAAGTACCCCCCCCCCCCCCCCTGAAATGCACCACGAGAGCACGGGAAACTTAGTAGTGGTCATGTGGCGCACCAGCAGACGCCGGCTGTGGTCTAATGAACGAGTGAGAGTCGAGAGTTGATAAACAAAACAAAATTATGCTCTCAATTATGGCAGATCAAACTATACACAAATATGCACACTCGGCCATAGTTAAGTACAATATTTCATCAATCTAACAACAGACAACACAGTACAATCAGATACACTCAGAGCAACGGACACAAACAACAGTACGGGCTACAATTCAATCGCATGCATCAAACAACCAAGACACTTATTCGGTCCAAAGCTCTTGAATCAAAATTGAACGCTTCTTTGCTAGGAAAGACTCACTCAAAGTCCAGCGCTGTTGTCGATGCGCTGCCCCCGAAGGTTCTCTTTCAGGAAACCATGTTTTCAGATGTCCACACTACAAGCACCAAACTTCTTCGCCAGAAACACGTCGGCTTCCCACGCGCTGCGATTGCAGGATGCGTCTTCGCTCTCCGGTGGTAGACTCACACTATTCTTCTGCTGGTAGCACGAGCCTTCATCCTTCAGGCAAAAACCCTCTTCATTACATGCTTTGTAACTGACTACAAAAGCCTTCACCAAAACTAGGTGGAAAAACCCTACGCACACTTGCGCAAAACTTCCTTCATCTCCTGCCTATATGCACAGTGGCGTAAACTGTCTTCGTCTCCTACCTACGCACGCTGGCGTAAACTGTCTTCATCTCCTCCCTACGCACACCGGCGTAAACTGTCTTAATCTCCTGATTTCCCTTCTCCACTGCTCGCTTAAATATCTTTCACGCAAGATTCCAGAAAATTCCAATTGGCGCGATGCACAACCAAGGCTGGTGAAAGGGTGAGGCGTTTAGAGGGCCATCTGTGACACGTGACGCAACTCTGCATCACCACGCCCCTTTCCTTCGAGATCTTTCCAGGGCTTGCTCGGCGGCCGTTGTGAGGAGGTTGGTCGGCGAAACTACGCTTCCGAGAGGGGAGACACGGCACGCCCGGGGAGGAGTCTTTGGATGCTTGTTTTTTTTCTCTAGCGTTGACCTTGACGAATCTTTCTGGTGCCTGGTATCGTCACCATCGTTGGAATTCGGCGGCGCGCTTTTCTGAGCACTTGTTTGTGACACCCAGTGCAGGGAACTTTGACGGCGACGGCGTAGCGCACACCTAGGCAGATTGGCTCCTAAATTTAAAACTAAGCGACTTGAAAAATGAAGTGTCGTGGCTGGTACAAGCACGTTGTGGTGCTTTCACCAGATTACCTGGACCTTCAGGTAAAGTGACACAGACCCATATCGTGTACGGACCTCCAGTCACTTGACAGAAGCCATCGCCACACCCTATGCTGCACACGGAGAAATCTCTGTGCACACTTTATAAGAATGAGGGTCGGTTCACACTAACCGGCAACATTTTGTTTTTCTGAGCACCAACGGACATCTTGTGGCACGCTTATACAACTTATGGCATTTCTATAGAAATGTAGCATGATGCAGCAGATATAAATTCTTAATACTGTTAGTGCAATCCCTACAGCAATCACATTCCTTTTGAACTAATATTTATGTTTTTGGCTGAGATTCGCCAATATTTATGTTTTTGGCTGAGATTCGCCAATATTTATGTTTTTGGCTGAGATTGGTGGACTGAGTAGGTATGTCTAGCTTGAGAGGCTGAGACTGCCTGAGAAAAGCAAACTCTGTCTTTCAATCGATAGACTTCCTCAGCTCACCCAAAGTTGGCAATTAAGCTTGCCACATGGGCGTAAAACATGGGCAGTTTCTCCCACACCAGGCTTCCTTCCCTACCCATCACTCTACTTCACTCTCCCTGCACTTCTTTCGCTTTCTTTGCTACCTGCTCTACTCTGTAGTGAAGCTCGGCCTTGGAGCATAACTCTCCATGTTTTTTCGGACCTCTACCTTGATTATATTCACTGTTAAAAAACAATCAATGCTTACCTCAAGCGTTCTGCATCATGTGTTGTCGGGAGTCTGTTCAGCCAATCCGCCAGGTCGTCCCGCCCATGTTGTCTCGCGATGACAGAAGCTTTGGCGACCAGTGATGGTGTGCACATCTGGCTCGCCAGCTCTGCTGTCATCTTCAGTATGCGGTGTTCCAAAGCAAACTGCATCAGTAGACCAACCATCAAGCTTAACACTAGAATACAAATCTTTGTCAAGAGGCAATTTTCCGCAACGCTTGGATTACCTGGCCTAAAGTGTTCTGTAATCTCTGCAGCAGGCAGCTCAAGATACATTTCTAAAACTTGTTGCTAGGCGGTATAGTACATGCTTGCTTGAATACAAGAAGACTCGTTCGTCACCACTAAGAAAAAGCTTGAGGTAGAATGGAAAACATGCATTGTTTTGTCGATCCTTTCTTTCTTGAATTTCATGCGTATTTTTGTAATTGAGCAAGTTTTACGTGTGCCAATATAGTGATAGCTGGACCTCTTGGATTTACCACTTCTCGCTACCCGCAGGCTGCCAGAGTCCGTCAGTTAGATCATCTTTATAGGGTTGTTCCGTCCCACTCCACCCGTCGGTCTTCATGTTGGCGTTCGCTTTTCTCGGGTTGGACAGTTCTGGCCAAATAGTTTCTTAAATATACTCTAGAGGGAAATCTGGTGCTATTGCCTATTCTTATTCAGACTGGCACGGTGAATGGACATGTTCTGCGAGGTCTTCCGATGGCAGATAAGTTATTTGTACGTTTTGAGCTCGCTTTTATAATTAATAATGTTGTAGTGTAAACCTTTAAAGCACTTATTGCATTATACGGCTTTTGGAGGGGTCAGTCACCTGGTGTTCATTAGTTTCTGATTGTTTTTTCTTCTGCCACCCCGTGATGGAGGTGCACCTACATAGAACATGCAGATTTTTGTAGTAGAGCTTCTTTTCTCGCCTAGGGCTCGGTTAGTCGTAAGCCGCGTTTTCTAATTATCGATTGGGACAATTTAGCAGGAGAGTTGGTGTGAAAAGAAATGATTAAAAATACTATTATTCAAGATGCAGAGTGGGTTTCAAAATAACGGCTAGTGCGGGTGCGAATGCAAAGGAGGCCTACGCCAAGTGTAGGTAATGTGAGGTCGAGAAGAAAATGGGAAAAATGATGGTTGCCCAGAGTGAGCAGCTGATGAGAATCACTGAGCTGGAGGCTGTGTTGGCGACAAAGCAACAAAAAGCGAGGGCTATGAGAGAAAAAACTTCGGTCAGCTGAGGAGGCACTAGTGAAGGTGAACAAAGAAGCGGCCGATAGAGAGAACGGTAGGGCGCTGACATTCATAAAGGTGGAGAAGGAGAAAACACGTTAGAAAAAAGACAAGTTCAGTCGGTTCAGTGGTCACAAGACACATCTTCAGCGAAGTAGTATTGGAGTAGGGAGGGGAAGAAGGAACCAGTGTCACAGATGGAAGTAAGCTGCAGTCAGGACACTCGACGAAAAGTCACAGCACATGATAAACACCGCGGACTCAAATATAAATCGTTGCGCAGAAGCAATCAAAGAGAGTGTAAGAGGCGACAAAAAGGTTTCAGTAGGGGCGTTTCCAGGACATGAGCTGGAAGGGGTCATGAGCCAGGCAAGCGCGAAACTCACAACTAAATCTAATGAAGGAAACCTCGTGATAATTGCGGGCGGTCTAAACGATGTCCTAAATAAACAATCGGCCCGACTAGCGACCACACTGGCGAAAGGGATCGATGACATGCATGCCATTTCCCCTCAGGTACAGGTAGTGGTATGCACAATACAGGAGGTGCCGGTGCGCGACGGCAACCTGAAAAGAGCGGTTGTAGACGCAAACAAAAAAAATATGACAGATGAATTGAGAAAAAGGCTTCCATATAGTGAATATAAACAGAGAGGTCCATAGGTGGGGCGGTTTTGAGCGAAACAGAATTCACTTCGATATGAGGCTACTAGGTCATGAGGTAGGGTGGTGACTTTCAAGCCACGCGCTAGATTCTTTAGGGATACACGGGCCCTTCGGGGTTCAATATAGCTAGTAACAAGGAGAACAACCAGCAGAACTTTTAGACAGGTGGTATACACAGATACAATTTCAAAGTGGCACCAATATCTAAGACACGTAGAGTCTGGGGGAGAAATCGACATAGGCACGAGGGCCGAGAAAGTTAGGACGTAGGGTATATTAATAATTATACGCAAGAGCCGCTAAACGCAGCTGCATGAAAGACGGGAACGAAGTCAGTTTTTGGTTGATGCGGGACTAGTGCCATCTTGCTCGTCGAGTTCTGTGCGTTGTGAATAGGGTATTAAAGAAGTTACTTGTAACATTATTGGTGGAGGTGGACGACCCTCGTACCTCGATAGAGATGCACAGCGGTAGCAACATCAGCGACCCTTGGACAGCTTCGACTGCTGGTACTTCCATTACGCCGCGCTCATCGGTCCAAGCCACTCCTTACGTCACACCCTCGCACCTCCAGGATTCTGGCACTTTCTCCGATGATGAAACCATAGATCTTGACACTTGGCTGAACCGCTACGAGCGCGTCAGAGCTACTCACCGCTGGGATCTCACGCTCATGCTCACCAACGTGCTTTTCGGCCTTGACGGCACTCCCCAAACATGGTTTCAAACCCACGAAGCCGAAACAACGAGAGACAACAGCAGCATACCAAGCCAAAAGGAAACATCAGTCAAGAAGAAGGTCAGGAAACAGAGAGGGACGTGTGGAAGATTGGAATGCTCACGAAATCATCATTAGAGACGTACCGACCCTTCAAGCATCAAATTGCAAAAGAAAAATCTACGATGCTTCTTGGAGTGGTTCTTTGCTGTTCAAGGCCCGAATGCGAGTTTTATTTTTATTTACTCATACTGTTGGCCTGTCCGCCGTTACATGGTGGGTCAAAGGGGGACATTTGCATGGTCAACATCGTGTGACTTGAGAAGAGAAAAAATAAGAATCCATATTACATAAGAAAAAAAAACACAAGTGTACATAAAGAAGAAAGAAACCATACTACATAAGAAACCGTACATAAGATACCACACACAAGAAAACATAAGCGTACATAAGTGAAATAGTTCCTGTATACATGATCAAATTATACGACATCATAAATGCACCGTTAACAAGCGATATTAGAAAATATAACCGACCATTACCATACAAAAACACACAGCAGTACATGCGAAATAAATTGTACATACACCGATCAAACAATACAAAGCTAACAACACAATGCAACAACTGAACTCGGACAACCACTAAATAGACAGCATGCGTAAAGGCGTGCGTCTTTAATGACCTACTAGGTTATTTTCAAACTGTTCTACACTATTACTTTGTCGCGATTGTAGTGGCAATTGATTCCATTCTTTGATGGTTCTTGGGAAGAAAGAAAACGCGTAACTGTTAATGTGCATCTGAGGTATTTCGAAAGTACCATCTTTGATTGATTCTTTGCAATGCTCTATCTTGTCGTGCTATCAAGTACTGACTGCTGTTAATGATGAATTAGTTTTTAGAGAAGGGTAAAAATTTAAGTCTTGCTATGCGCCTGCGTTTAGCAAGCGTGGGCAAGTTTAGCAAACCGAGCATTTCGGTGACGGAATCTGTACAAGAGTATCGTCTAGAATAAACCTTGCTGCTCGTCGTTGAGCTCTTTCCTGTCTCTGAATTAACCCTGACTGATGAGGGTCCCAGATTATACTGGCATACTTTAGCGTGGACCGAACGTATGTCAAATGAGCTGTTAGTTTTACTGACTGTGAGACTAATTGCAGTTTTTGTCACAAGAACCAGAGCTTCTTTTCCGCAGATTCGCATATTTTGTTAACATGGTAAGACCAGCTTAAATTCGTAGATATATTTACGCCTAAGTATTTCAGTACGTCAACCGTAGAAAGCACCAAGGAATTCACTGTGTAATTAAAGTAGAAGATGTTATTTACTTTATTTGTTACGTGCAATAAAACAGTTTTATTCTCATTTATTTTCATTTTTCACTTGTCGCACCATTCTTCTACTGTCCTAAGAGCGTCACTGAGTAACTCCTGATCAACCGGGCTATCAATTTCTTTGTACAGTAGACAATCATCAGCGAAAAGCCGGACAGTGATCCTTTCGTGAATTTCAGAGGCGATATCATTAATATAGACTAGGAATAGCACTGGGCCTAACACAGACCCCTGGGGAACACTTGACATTACGTTCAACGGTTTTGATTTAATGTGTTCTACTTCTATATACTGCGTTCTGCCCCGAAGGTACGCGGTTATCCATTTTACTATTTGTTCGTTTATTCCTATACATGTCAGTTTCAGAAGCAGTTCTGCATGTAGCACTCTGTCGAATGCTTTCGACAGATCAAGACAGATGACATCTATCTGTTTTTTTTTTGTTTAACGTCAGGGCAAAGTCATTAATTGTGTCAAGAAGCTGTGTTGCTGTGGAAAGGCGCTGTCAGAATCCATGTTGGTTGGGAAAAAATTTGTTGTCATTTTCAATATACGTGTAAATTGACTTTGCTACAACGTGTTCTAGGAGCTTGCAGCAAACGCAGGTCAGCGATATTGGACGATAGTTTTGAATGAATTGCTTATCACCAGATTTGTGCACAGGTATAACCTTTGCCATAAGCTAATCATCAGGGATTCGGCAATCTGCGAGTGATGTGTCAAATACAATCTTTAAGTAATGAGCAACTCATTCCGCATACCTGTGTAGAAACGCATTCGGTAATTTATCAGGGCCTACTGACTTTTTTACGTCAATATTCTGTAGTTGGACCAGAATTCCCTCATAAGAGACTTCAACATCTGGCATTTTTTCCGAGCGAAGCAATAGAGAGGGAGCAGATTCAACACCGGATTGTGATGGACTAGAAAACACCGACTGAAAGAATTCGTTGTATGAAGGAGCGATTACTACAGGATCAGTAACCACTGTGTTATCCACTACAATGCTAAGTGACTCATAGTTTTTCGACATGTGATGTCAAAATTTATCAGGAGACTTTGTCATGAACTCTGTCAGTGTTTCTTTGAAATATCTATTTTTGGCTTCTGTAATCATGGAACGCAGTTGTGCAGACAATTCAGTTATTTTTGCGCAGTCTTTTGTTACTTTGCGTCTCTGGTGACTTATTCTA